ATCAGATAAATTAAAGTTTGTCCCAAGACTGTAGTGAGAGATGAAGAGGGACACTATATCATACCTAAAGGATCTATCCAACAAGAGGACCTAACAATCATGAATATTTATGCCCCTATTGTGGGAGCTGCCAGGTATATCAATCAATTAATAACCAAAGTAAAGACACACTTAGACACTAATACACTAATACTGGGAGACTTCAACACGGCGCTATCTGCAAATGACATATATTTTAAGCACAACATCTTCTAAGAAACAAGAGCTTTAAATGATTCACTGGACCAGACGGATTTCACAGGTATATACAGAATTTTGCATCCGAACACAACTGAATACACATTCTTCTCAAGCGCACATGGAGCTTTCTCCAGAATAGACTACATACTGGGTCACAAATCAGGTCTTAACTGATACCAAAAGATTGGGATTGTCCCCTGCATATTTTCAGACCATAATGCTTTGAAACTAGAACTCAATCACAAGAAGAAATTTGGAAGAAACTCAAACACGTGGAGGTTAAAGAGCATCCTGCTAAAAGATGAAGGGATCAACCAGAAACCTAAAGAATTAAAAAGACTCATGGAAATTAATGATAATGAAGATACAACTGTTCCCCATCTTTGGGATACAGCAAAAGCAGTCCTGAGAGGGAAATACATCGCAATACAAGCATCCCTCAAGAAATTGGAAAAGACTCAAATACACAAGCTAGCCTTACACCTAAAGGAACTGGAGAAAGAACAGCAAATAAAACCTACACCAAGCAGAAGAAAAGAGTTAATAAAGATTCGAGCAGAACTCAATGAAATAGAGACCAGAAGAACTGTGGAACAGATCAACAAAACCAAGGGTTGGTTCTTTGAAAGAATTAAGAAGATAGATAAACCATTAGCCAGCTTTATTAAAAACAGAAGAGAAAAGACTCAAATTAATAAAATCATGAATGAAAAGGGAGAGATCACAACCAATACCAAGGAAATACAAACGATTTTAAAAACATATTATGAGCAGCTACACGCCAATAAATTAGGTAATATAGAAGAAATGGAAGCATTTCTGGAAAACCACAAACTACCAAAACTGGAACAGGAAGAAACAGAAAACCTGAACAGGCCAATAACCAGGGAGGACATTGAAGCAGTCATCATCAAAAACCTCCCATGACACAAAAGTCCAGGGCCAGATGGCTTCCCAGGGGAATTCTATCAAATGGTGAAAGAGGAAATAATACCTATTCTACTAATGCTGTTCCGACAGATAGAAAAGGATGGAATATGTCCAAACTCGTTTTATGAGGCAGCATTACATTAATTCCAAAACCAGACAAAGACCCCACCAAAAAGGAGAATTATAGACCACTATCCCTGATGAACACAGATGCAAAAATTCTCAACAAGATACTAGCCAATAGGATCCAACAGTACATTAAGAAGATTATTCACCAAGACCAAGTGGGATTTTTCCCAGGGATGCAAGGCTGGTTCAACACTCGTAAAGCAATCAACATGATAGATCATATCAAACAAGAGAAAAAACAAGAACCATATGGTCCTCTCAATAGATGCAGAGAAAGCATGTGACATAATACAGCATCCATTCCTGATCAAAACTCTTCAGAGTGTAGGGATAGAGGGAACTTTCCTCAGCATCTTAAAAGCCATCTATGAAAAGCCCACAGCAAATATCATTCTCAGTGGGGAAACACTGGGAGACTTTCCCCTAAGATCAGGAACACGACAGGGGTGTCCACTCTCACCACTGCTACTCAACAAGGTACTGGAAGTCCTAGCCTCAGCAATCAGACAACGAAAAGACATTAAAGGCATTCAAATTAGCAAAGAAGAAGTCAAACTCTCCCTCTTCGCTGATGACATGATACTTTACATAGAAAACCCAAAAGACTCCACCCCAAGATTGCTAGAACTCAGACAGCAATTTGGCAATGTGGCAGGATACAAAATCAATGCCCAGAAGTCAGTGGCATTTCTATACACTAACAATGAGACTGAAGAAAGAGAAATTAAGGAGTCAATCCCATGTACAAGTGTACCCCAAAGCATAAGGTACCTAGGAATAAACCTAACCAAAGAGGTAAAGGATCTATACCCTAAAAGCTACAGAACACTTCTGAAAGAATTGGAGGAAGACACAAAGAGATGGAAAAATATTCCATGCTCATGGATTGGCAGAATTAATATTGTGAAAATGTCAATATTACCCAGGGCAATTTATACATTTAATGCCTTATCAAAATACCACGGACTTTCTTCATAGAGTTGGAACAAATCATCTTAAGATTTGTGTAGAATCAGATAAGACCCTGAATAGCCAGGGGAATATTGAAAAAGAAAACCAGAGCCGGGGACATCACCTGAAATGCCAGATTTTAGGTTGTTCTACAAAGCTGTGGTCATCAAGACAGTGTGGTACTGGCACAAAAACAGACACGTAGATAAATGGAACAGAATAGAGAATCCAGAAGTGGACCCTCAAATTTATGGTCAACTAATATTCAATAAAGGAGGAAAGACTATCCACTGGAAAAAGGACAGTCTCTTCAATAAATGGTGTTGGGGAAATTGGACAGCCACGTGCAGAAGAATGAAACTAGACCACTCTCTTGCACCAGACACAAAGATAAACTCAAAATGGATGAAGGATCTAAATGTGAGACAAGAATCCATCAAAATCCTAGAGGAGAACACAGGCAACACCCTTTTTGAACTCGGCCACAGCAACTTCTTGCAAGATACGTCCATGAAGGCAAGAGAAACAAAAGCAAAAATGAACTATTGGGACTTCATCAAGATAAGAAGCTTTTGCACAGCAAAAGAAAGAGTCGACAAAACTAAAAGACAACCTACAGAATCGGAGAAGATATTTGCAAATGATGTAGCAGATAAAGGGCTAGTTTCCAAGATCTCTAAAGAACTTATTAAACTCAACACCAAAGAAACAAACAATCCAATCATGAATGGGCAAAAGACATGAAGAGAAATCTCACAGAGGAAGACATAGGCATGGCCAACAAGCACATGCGAACATGCTCCGTATCACTGGCCATCAGGGAAATACAAATCCAAACCACAATGAGATCCCACCTCACACCAGTGAGAATGGGGAAAATTAACAAGGCAGGAAACCACAAATGTTGGAGAGGATGTGGAGAAAGGGGAACCCTCCTACACGGTTGGTGGGAATGTGAACTGGTGCAGACACTCTGGAAAACTGTGTGGAGGTTCCTCAAAGAGTTAAAAATAGACCTGCCCTACGACCCAGCAATTGCACTGCTGGGGATTTACCCCAAAGATCCAGATGCAGTGAAACGCCGGGACACCTGCACCCCGATGTTCATAGCAGCAATGTCCACAATAGCCAAACTGTGGAAGGAGCCTCAGTGTCCATCGACAGATGATGGATAGAGAAGCTGTGGTCTATGTATACAATGGGATATTCCTCAGCCATTAGAAACGACAAATACCCACCATTTGCTTCAACATGGATGGAACTGGAGGGTATGATGCTGAGTGAAATAAGTCAATCGGAGAACGACAAACATTATATGGTCTCATTCATTAGGCGAATATAAAAAATAGTGAAAGAGAATAAAGGGGAAAGGAGAGAAAAGGAGTGGGAAATATCAGTGAGGATGACAGCACATGAGAGCCTCCTAACTCTGGGAAATGAACTAGGGGTGGTGGAAAGGGAGGTGGGCGGGGGGATGGGGTGACTGGGTGACGGGCACTGAGGGGGGCACTTGGCAGGATGAGCACTGGGTGTTATGCTGTATGTTGGAAAATCGAACTCCAATAAAAAATATACAAAAAAACAAAAAAATATTGGTTGAACAGGTAGTAGAATTGATGTTTGAATTTCCAGTCATCTGGGGCTTGGGCTGAAACCAGAGAGGTGCCAAAACTGTGCAGAGCAAGAAAATAAGCTTCAGAGATGCACCAAGGTGTGGCACAACGTACAGTTTCCCTGGGAAGTTTTCAAAACCAACAAGCAAGCCAGCAAGCAAACATTTCTCATGCTGAATTTTGCTAATGTCTTATCAGAGTGCATAGGTGCTTTTTTTTTAAAGATTTTATTTTATTTATTTATTTATTCATGAGAGATGCAGACAGAGGCAGAGACACAGGCAGAGGGAGAAGCAGGCTCCCTGCGGGGAGCCCGTTGTGGGACTTGATCCCAGGACCCTGGGGTCATGCCCTGGGCGGAAGGCAGAGGCTCAACCACTGAGCCACCCAGGTGTCCCCAAAGCACATAGGTGTTAACTGCCCTTTTTCTCAGTAGACCGTCATGAACCCAAATGCCACTGCCTCCCGAGCTGCAGCCTGGGACAGAGAGGGGGCCCAGGAGGCAGATTTGTCATGGCTCTGAGCTTTGTTTCCGGGAAGGGAGGAAGAGAGGCATCAGTCCCTTCCCAAGCCCAGCGCAGAGCTGGGCACACAGTGGCTGTTCAATGACCACGTGTTGACCGCGGGGTGAACGGAATCAGCCCTTCTGTTGAGACACTTGCGCTGAGTCTTGGAGTGGGCTTCACTGTTTCCACAACCCAGACAACTGGACCCCCGCAGCCTACCTCCCACTCCACTCTTTCCACAGCGGAGGGCAGGCAGGTGGCCACTGAGCACCTGGCAGGGATGCGTGTGCCTCCTGGGTCCTGTCAGACAAAGCTAGGAGGTGGCCGTGCCCAAGCATGGGGCACGCCAGGCACCACTCCCGGCCACGTAAGCCTGCCACCTTAGCATTTTTACCATTTCAGATTATTTTTAAGGTGTGTTTGGTAGCCTGGAACAAACTTATTGCCTTGGAGGCAAACCCCACCCATGACTATTTGGGATTAATTATCTCTCCTTCGTTTGAGCCCAGCCACCTCCTTGAGGTATATAAAGGGATTTATTCTGCACAGGTCTTCAGTTCCCTTCCCTCTTCCTCTGACTCTCAGTGTCCTGCTTAACTCTTGTACTTTTCTTTCATCAAGCTCTCTCACCATGAACAGACAAGTCTGCAAGACATCTGGTGGCGGCAGCCAGGGCTTCTCGGGCCGCTCCGCCGTGGTCTCAGGCAGCAGCAGGATGAGCAGTGTGGCCCGCTCCGGGGGAGCCAGTGGAGGGGCCTGCGGGTTCCGGGGTGGAGCGGGAGGCTTCGGCAGTCGCAGCCTCTACAGCCTGGGTGGCAACAAGAGCATCTCCATCAGCGTGGCTGGTGGCTCCCGGGCTGGTGGCTTTGGGGGAGGCCGTAGCAGCTGTGGCAGTGTCTTTGGGGGCGGCTATGGAGGTGGCTTTGGTGGTGGCTATGGAGGTGGCTTTGGTGGTGGCAGAGGAATAGGAGGTGGCTTTGGAGGAGGGGCTGGTGGCTTTGGTGGAGCTGGTGGCTTTGGTGGGGCTGGTGGCTTTGGTGGGGCTGGTGGCTTTGGTGGGGCTGGTGGCTTTGGTGGAGCTGGTGGCTTTGGAGGGCCTGGTGGCTTTGGTGGCCCTGGTGGCTTTGGTCCTGGTGGCTTTGGTGGTCCTGGTGGCTTCCCCGGGGGGATCCAGGAGGTGACTGTCAACCAGAGCCTCCTGCAGCCCCTCAATGTGGAGATCGACCCCCAGATCGGGCAAGTGAAGACCCAGGAGCGCGAGCAGATCAAGACCCTCAACAACAAGTTTGCCTCCTTCATCGACAAGGTGATGGAGCTTTTACTGGGCCCCATTTCTAGGCTGGGACTTTGAGTTTGACATCTAGACAGCGCTCAGGATCAATCTCAGATGAGCCAGGCTGGAGGGGATGGTTAGGTAGCACTCTAGGGTTCTAGAAAGACGTTAAGGGCTGATGAGCTTGCCCAAATGGTCACCTGAGTGGGAAGACAATGGGCCCCTCTTTGGTCCTGGATATCCCCAAGTCCCGCTTGTCTGGCTCCCTGCTCACATCTCCTGACCGTTGCCTTATCTAGGCCTTGACTGGCAACATATGTCAAGAGCCACGACCACTGGCAGGAGAGGGTCTGACCCAGAACTTGGCATTTTCCAGAACTGGCTGCCCTTTCAGGGTTTCCGGGAGGCCTGTTGCCTCCATGCCCCCATGCCAGGCAAAGGCGGTGGATGCCCTCGAGAAGGGATTAAAGAGGCTTACCTGGAACCTTAGTCCTTGGAGGGCTGCAGACAAGCTGGCAACTAATTTGCACCTCTAATTGACCTGGTCAGGAAGAGAAGGGTGCTTGTGCCCTCCAGACCAGGCTGGGTTACACCGACGGGCCGCCCTCCTGTAGTGCTGATTGTGACATTTCAATTGTATCAGTTCCCAGTGATTCACATCCTGAAGGGCTGAGTGTCAGCAGAGCTTTAGGCGGAAGCTATGCCGCTGAGGTTCAAGCGCCTTTCTGCAGAGAGTAGACTCTATTTTTGGAAGTTGGGGTAGAGTCCCAAGGTCCTTGGAGAGCACTTGGTGGTCATCTTTACAACTCTGCTTCTGGGACAGGGGCTACTTCCAATTTCCCCACCTTTCTCTCCTCCTCCTGTAACTTCCCAACCATGCTGCATCTTAAGTGGCCCGACTGGAGCAATCATCTGCCCATAGCCTCTCCAGCTACAGTAGGGTACAGTAGGGACCTACCTTCGCATCCTTTCTAGGCCTTTGTGCTGGGGGATGGGGAGATTCAGACCCTCAGTCCTACCTGAGGTTCAGGGAGCCAAGGCCCCCCTGTTCCTCTGCTGCTGCTGCCTGATGCGGCTTCCCCCGATGCCCTGCAGGTGCGCTTCCTGGAGCAGCAGAACAAGGTCCTGGAGACCAAGTGGAGCCTGCTCCAGCAGCAGGGCACAAATTCCATCACAGGCACCAACAACCTAGAGCCCCTTTTTGAGAACTACATCAGCACCCAGCGGAGCTACCTGGATAGCGTCCTGGGGGAGAGGGGCCGCCTGGACTCGGAGCTGAGGAACATGCAGGACCTGGTGGAAGACTTCAAGAAGAAGTGAGTGACAGAGGCATGAGTAGGAAGTTGCCCCTGGGCAGCCCCGTCTCGGAGTCCCAGCTCTTCCTCCTGCCGGCGGCAGTGGTGTCACCTAGCCTGGCTTCCTCTCTTTACCTTCACTGAGGGCAGCTGGGTCATTGGGCTCTCCACTCGCCCTCCTTCTCCAAGGACAAGTAAAGTAATGGCAAGAAGGAAGAGTTTAGGGTTGAGGAAGCACTTCCTTGTGACCCATGTTGGGAAAGATTCTGGTTCTAGGATCTGAAGGATGCTGGGACAACTCATGGTGTAGTGACCAACAGTCCCAGTTTCCCTAGGATGGGGTCTTCTCAGGACATGGGACGGTCAGTGCTAAAACCAGGCCAGTGTGCTTGGACACACTGGAATGGCCGGTCCTCCTAACTTATAGGGGGGATGGTAAGGAGGATGTGTTCAGCTAAGAGGGGCAGCAGAGGGACAGGGATGGAGAGATGAACTTTCAGAGCTTCAGACAAAAGCGGTGTTTATGACTACCTCAAAACCTGAACTCAGCTATTCCTTTTTTAAAATCCTTACAGGTATGAGGATGAAATCAATAAACGTACAGCTGCTGAGAATGAATTTGTGACCCTGAAGAAGGTAAGGGCTGTGTGTGAAGTTCCTGGGGCTTGTGGGCACAGGTTTCCAGCTGAGCTTACTCCACCACCAAGGAGCTGCCGAGTTCAGGCAGGAAGGGTAAAAAAAGCAGAAGCCAGGTGTGTCGTAGTCTGGAAAGATAGATCCCTAAAAGAGTCAGTTTCTTTGTTTTGTTTTGAACCATCCCAGATGGGAGACCAGCCTTGGACAAGAACCAGTCAGTCCTCAGCCTGTCCTGACTCTTTCCTGCTACATGTGCAGTTTGTTGTTTGTTCCTTGTGGGGAATGAGGCCTTTCTGCTTCTGTCTTTCTCAGGATGTGGACGCCGCCTACATGAACAAGGTGGAGCTTCAGGCCAAGGTGGACGCCTTAATGGATGAAATCAACTTCCTGACAACCCTCTATGATATGGTGAGGAGGCTATCTCCTAAGGGGGGGGCAAGGGAAGGTGAGATATTCTCAGGGCCTGGGGCACTTTAGTATCTAGGGCCCAGGAAGACAGCCTAGAGATAGGGCCCCTTGTTGGGGTTCCGCAGGATGGACTGCTGACATGGGGTTCTCTGAAGGGCTGGGGGCCAGGGTAGGGCAGATGCAGCTTCAGAGCTGAGTCAGAGAACAACAGATCTGCTGTTCAGGAGTCTTTCTGGGCCTCTGTGTGCTTGTTGCAGACGCCCCAAGAGTTAACAGGCCCCTCTGTGTTGGCAGGAGCTGTCCCAGATGCAGAGCCATGTCAGTGACACATCCGTGGTGCTGTCCATGGACAACAACCGCAGCCTGGACCTGGACAGCATCATCGCCGAGGTCAAGGCCCAGTATGAGGACATCGCCCAGAGGAGCAAGGCAGAGGCTGAGGCATTGTACCAGACCAAGGTGAGAGTGAGGCACCTCTCAGAGGGTCTACTGAGGGTCTCAGGGGGGCTGTGGCCTATGGGGCTGCTGGGTGGGGAGTCCCCCGTGGTCATTGCGTGAACCCTCTTGGTTCTGCTCTCTGGAGAGGTCTTTCTAATGGTTGTTCAGCTGCAGAAAGTGCTGCCCCTGCATGGAAAGTGGTTCCACTGCCCCCTGCCAGGCCACATGGGGCAGATTCTAGCTTGCTCAGGGACTGCAGGGAGGGAGAAGTACCACGGCAACCCAGGTCTTCTCTTCCCTGCTGCCTCAGAAGTGTCCCTGCTGACATAAACAGTGTCATCCGAACAAATGCTTACTAAGCACCTCAAGGTTGGGTGGGTGATGTCAGGGATGGAGAAACCCGTCAGGCAAAACTGCATCCATACCCCATCTTCCCTTCTGCTCTCCAGTTGGGAGAGCTGCAGACCACGGCCGGCAGACACGGGGACGACCTGAAGAACACCAAGAGTGAGATCATGGAGCTCAACAGGATGATTCAGAGGCTGCGGGCTGAGATCGAGAATGTTAAGAAGCAGGTAGGCTGGCAATGGATACTGGTACCGAGACGGACTGGTGGGGGTGGGGGTGAGGATCTCAGAACCCCTGGTCTGGAGTGGGTGGGCTTCTGGGGTCATCTCCGGCAGCACTGGCCTCTGGGGAGTTCAAAGGCCAAGCCAGTCTAGACAGCTGGTAATCTATAGGGAAGATATCTTGGTGGATGAAGACAAGATAGAGGGGAAAGTGATGTTGCCTGGCTTTCAGATGCTTGCTATGGGACAAGCTATTGCAAGATTCAGAGGGTCTGGGGCCCTCGTCCTAGGCTCACCTCTTCCCCCGCCTCTCCCTGCCCTAGAATGCCAACCTGCAGACGGCCATCGCCGAGGCTGAGCAGCGTGGGGAGCTGGCCCTCAAGGACGCCAATGCCAAGCTCCAAGAGCTGCAGGCTGCCCTCCAGCAGGCCAAGGATGACCTGGCCCGGCTGCTGAAGGAGTACCAGGAGCTCATGAACGTCAAGCTGGCCCTGGACGTGGAGATCGCCACCTACCGCAAGCTGCTGGAGGGCGAGGAGTGCAGGTGAGCCTCTAATTCCATCTTCTCACCTTTCCTGACCGAAGGTACATGCTGAGGGCCAGGTAAGTGACGGGGCAAATGGGAACGGACGCCTGCTGTATAGGAGAGGCCCCCCTCTGCCATAGGCCTCGTCGCTTTCAGCAGCCCACTCTCCGCAGGGCGTGAGCGCACACGGAGCCGGCGCGCACAGGGCTCTGTTACGGCCGGAGAAGGGGTGCAGGAGGGTGCTCATCGGCCTGGCTTCCAAATTCAGTTCTGGTTCCTGTTCGACACCTTCACCTACGAAAAATTGCTGGAAATTTGTTTTGTGACAGAGCTATCTTTCTTTTGCTTTCTCGTACAGGATGTCTGGAGAGTGCCAGAGCGCTGTCAGCATCTGTAAGTAGCCGAAACAACCACGACAGTCAGAACTGATTCTGAAATCAGTGCCCTGAACTAACACAGGGCAGCAGCACCTTAGTTAAGAAACCCTTCAGGGAAGTTGGAGAGGTTCTCTGTGGGTGGAAGGGGCGGCGGGCCTGCTTTGGTAATTGTTCTGGGTTTAGGACACTATTAATAGGTCTGGACGGAATGGGGAATATCCATTAGGGGGCCTGTTAATGGGAGGAGAAATTCTGGGAGGTCTTCAGCGGGATCATCAAGAATTGATTGTAGGAACTGCTGGAAAATTCCTAACGACTTAGCACCATGGGGCGAGCACCTTGTGTCATTAGAACATATCACAGGGAGGACCAGGAGCAAAGCGGCCTTGGTGGCCTCCCCAGCATCCCGGGCCCAGGGGGTCGGCAGTTATGATACAGGGGGGTGGGTGCTGGGCCCGATCACTGATCGCTGCTCCCTCCTTTCCCCTGCAGCCGTGCTCAGCAGCGGGACATCGGCGGCAGGTGGCTTTGGCGGTGGCTTCGGTGGGACATCGGCGGCAGGTGGCTTCGGCGGTGGCTTCGGCGGGACATCTGCGGCAGGTGGCTTCGGCGGTGGCTTCGGCGGGACATCGGTGGCAGGTGGCTTGGGCGGCGGCTTGGGCGGCAGCTGGGGCGCAGGAGGAGGCACAGGTGGCGGCTGGGGCCGGGCGGGCGGTCTCAGCTCCGGCTCCGGGGGTCGCTGCGGGCTCAGTGGCGGAGGCTTCAGCTCGGGCAGCAGCCGGGGCGGCAGCATCAAGTTGTCTCAGTCCTCGCAGCGCAGCTCCAGATGAGCGCCGCACCCCCTGCCCGCAGCCGCCTCTCCCCTCCGCCCTCGGTGCCCCCCAGCCCGCTCCCCTGCACCGACCCCTGCCCTGGGCCGCTCCTGGGGGGCTAGACGACTCAGGCCTCTGGCTCCTCCTGCATCCGGACCCCTGGCCAAGCAGCAGCTCGGGCTCCCCTCTGTGCCCGATTGTCCAGGTGTGGCCTCTGCCACCGCCCTCTCCTGCCCTTGGGGTCCCCTCCCTGGGGGGAATGGTCACCAGCCCTGATGTACATAACACACGGACCCCTCTGCCAACCATTCTGTCGCCAATAAAGTGCATTGTGTTTCAATCCGGCCTTTGGGTCCTGGCCACCCGGCTCCTCCCTGGCCTGACCCCTGTCGCCCTCTCCCAGGGGGCTTGCGGCTGATCCGCACAACAGCTGGAGCGCTGATGCTCTGGCCTGAAGGCGGGCACTCCCTACTGTCCACTGTGTGGGATCCAGATGGGCGAGAGCTGGTGGTTCATGTATTGGTTGATTGGGGGTGGGGGTGGAGGCATGGGGGCCCTCACACTCCAGGAGGTCGTGTGGCCTCACAGTTCTTAGAGAGGAAGGTGGAACCTGTGGACTACTATCTCCCCCTTGCCTTCTCTCATTTGGGGGAACCTAAGAGGCCCTTGGGTTGCTGGGGGGCTTGGGGTCAAAGGATTTCTTTCCTTGGCACTAGTCCCTACTCCAGCTGACATCCTGGAAGCCTTCCCCCCATCAAGCTGCACCTGGGAAGGGGTGAGCTACTAGAGCCCCAGGACCAGGCAGGGATCTTCCGAGAGCCACCCATCTCAAAGTCTGACCACAAACCCCAGCCTGCTGGGGGTGCCCTGCAGAAAAGCATTCCGTGTCCATTAAATCTTTCCTCTTTGGAGCACATATTAGAGGTTCTGAGAAGTCTTGTAACAAAGACTACCTGTTAGCTGTCTTTAACCCAGCATTTCCCACAGAGGCCTCCTTCTGGGTAAAAAACTCTGGACACCCCTCAGAAAATATCCTACATCTGTCTGCATGCACTCCGGGTCCTCAGGTTGTGTGCCAGTCATGGAAGCTTCTAGCCCCAGGAAGCCCTGATAAAGTATTAGTTGGCCATGGCAGTACTGTCTGGAAGGTCATGGCTGAAAGAAACTCAGGGTCAAGGAGTCCAAGAGCTTTATTTGCAAAGGAGGAGACTGAGGCTCAGAGAGGTGCGGTGGTCTGCTTGGGGTCCTAGAGCCTCTGAGGGTCTGAGCAGGGAGTGCACCCAAGTATCCCGAGTCTGGAGCTCCTGCCCCTGTCCCGCACTGTCTCTGAGGCTACAGTTGCTGCCCTCCTGACGTGGCCAGCTGCCTGGGCACCCAGAGAACATGTAGGCAGTGGAGTAGAAACATTTAGCCCAGCTGAGCCGAGGAGGCAATATTTCCATCCTAGACCAAAGCTGAATTTCTTTCAGAGAAGAGAAATGATAATTAAAGAAAAACAGAAACTGGGGCTTGAGGTTCATATGGGGATGCCATGTTCTCACTTAGCAGAGCGATCCAGGGCCAATTCTATCTGATTTCCCAGGAAGACTCTTCGGAGAAGGGGAGATTTGGTAGTTATTGCTTCAACTTTGGGCAGGAAGGTGCCTTTCTGGCCGGCATCCCTTCGTGGACAAGACTAGATGAGGCCCCAGTTCAGACGGTTGGCCGGGTGGGAAGGTGCCAGGCTAGTGACGGGACAGCTGCTTCCCCCTGGACAAAGTCATTGTTCATGAATTCCTTCCTTCAACCAATATTCATTAAGTTAACTCTTGGGCACTGCGTGAATGTTGGAGATACGTCGGTGAGCAAAAATAAGATGTCCTGCCATCGTTGTAGTAAGGGAGTACGACAACAACAAAGGAAGCAAGCGAACAGATAAAAGAACTTCAAGCTGTGATAAGTGTATGAAGAGGAGAACCTGGGGGCTGACGTGGAGAAATGGCAGGAGTTGTGAGCAGATCGGATGCGGGGTGGGCAAAGGAGAAGGAAGATGTGGCTGTGCTGCCTGGTTTGCCAGCGGGAGCAGCTGGGTGGTGCTGGTGCCGTCTGCCGAGGGAGGGGAGGGGAGGGATGGAAGGTTGGATGGGTCTGAGGAGGTTCTTCAGGAGCTCGGCTTTAGGCAGGTTTGAGCTGCTCCCGAGATAGACATGTGGCCCACAGCTGGAGTGGTGAATGTGGTTTCGAAGGGACACATGTCAGGACTGGAGACTCAAGTTGGACGTCGTCTGCATAAGGACATTTAGGGTAGTTTCTGGAGCCCGGGAACTGGTGCGCTCTCTTAGGTGGAGGGAAGAGAAGAGGGCCCAGGCTGAGCTCCAGCAACTAGAGACAGGGAGAAGAGAACAGTCAGCCAGGCAGTAGAGCCTGGTCCAGGTTTTCTAGAATGCCTACCCCTAAGAAGTCAAGGGGTTTCTAAATGGGCTCCGAGGGAAGCTCAGAACAGGGCCAGCCTTTCTGGGGACACTGTTCGTGGGTTTCAAAGTTCACATTCAGCCGGTGGCCTCTTTTCTTTGCTGTTCTCCCTGGACTCTAGTCTATGCCCACTGCCCCCTGTGCATCCTGGGCGGGGTGGGGCTGGCTTACAGGAGATCCCCACCACCTAAGTAGTCTTCAGGTGGCAGAGGGGAATCTATGCAGCTTCTAAAGGAGAGAAGTACCCAGAGGGGTAGGCTGCCTGAGGAAGAATGGCACCATGTAGAGGGCGGTTTCTTGAAGGCGTCATTGTCCCAGAGGAATGACCAAGTCAGTGAATTTGGGGCTGAGACCTGAGACCGAAGGAGTTAACTCCATGCTTGGCTGGATACTCTCCATCCAGCCCTGATCATTTCTGATCTGGGATGAAAACACTTCCAGGGAACTTGGCCTGATTCCGAGTGCTCTTCTTTTCTTTCTTTGCTTCAGCTTTTACAGAATTTCTGTGTGAAATCCCATGGTGATTTTTCAGGCGCTCCTAAGTCTTTGGGCTTGGGGTTGCTCTTTTGCACTTGACTTTTTTTATTCGTTGAGTAAGGAGCCAATTAGTGCTGTGTTGTCCATTCTTTTCCTGTCCTCTGAGGCATGTTTGTTTGCCCAAAAGGAAACTCTCTGAGATGGTTGAATAATGCTGACTTGAATGCCCTAAACTGGAATTTGGGGCCATTGGTCAGTGGTTGAATATTTCTTCTGCTTTCTCTGCTTTGTTTCATTCCTCTTTGTTTACTCCTTAGGTGTGGAGGGGTGCATCCTCCTGTGATGACGCAGGGACCCAACTGCTATCCCTCACCCCACTCCTGTCCCCATCCATTCCTCTCTGCTAACTGCCTCCCCACCCTCCACCTGGGAAGAATGCTGCAAACAGCCCCTTCCTGTTCTAAGAGCTTGTTGACTCACTGGTTCACACATTCCTGGATGTTAAGGACACCAAGATGGGTTTTTAGATTTCAGGTTTTTTCATTCTTTCTCCCTCTGGGATGTAGGCTACGGGCCAGAGCAAATATTAACAGTAATGGGGACACGGCCACAAAAGGCTCAGCTCAGAGAACCTGGGGATTGTTCACCCCACAAGAATCTGATGATCAGGATTTGCATAGAAAGTTCTGGGTAATTTGTAGGAAACTCTCTGTGTGACTCTGCTCTGTTTTGCCTACAGCTGGGTGGGGTTTGTTAGGCAACCATCAGAAATCTCACAGGTTGGGATTTGGGCTGCCCCTTTTCTGTCTTCTCAGCAGCCTGGCACCTGTGCATTCTCCCTCTACTTCCAAGGCTGGAAATATAGACATCTTGCAACAATCTTGGGAAGACTGAGAAAAACTCACTTGAGTTGAAAATATCTTTTCACATATTTTATCTGTATCTCTCATGAGATCTTCTGGGATGTGAACTGTACAATGCACATATCTTTTGTGGTCTAAAATCAAGCTAATCACCACTAATACTTCCAGCCCAGGCAGAAGGCCAGTTGGTTCTCCTAGGAAATCACTGATGGGGGTGTTGTGGGAACAATCTGATATCCTTAGGATCCATGGTGACATCAAGTTCTAGAAAAGATGGGAGCGGGAAAGGATAGTTCTAGATGGCAGTAAAGCAGTGATTTTCATTGGGGGCAATCTCCCCTCCCCTACCAGAGAACACATGGCAATGTCTGCTGACATTTTTGGTTGTTGCAACTGGAGGAGTGCTACGGGCACCTAGAGGGTGAAGGACTGGTTGCTGCTTAGCATCCTACAATGCACAAGGCAGACCCCCGACAACGAATTATTCAGCTGTAAGGGTCAATAGGGCTGCTGTTGAGAAACTCTGCACCCAAGCAAGGGGTCATCTCATTCACCCCTCTCCTTAGGAAAGGATCCTTGGCCATACCGGTCTTGGTTAGATGTGAGCTGAATAGAGACCATCCTGACTTTGAGGGAGGAAGACATTCTTAGGTGTTTGTTTTAAAATGGAAATGCCCTTCTACTCTGGACAAAGACAGGGAGAAGAAGCAAGGCAAGCAATGGGGCCTTACATGGGTATTTGCTAGACCTGTGCCAATGACTTGTGAAGTCTTGCAGTTCTGGAATAAACCTCACTGTTTTAGACCTCTGTGCCTTTGACAGCCTGTTTGTTCCCTTTTTTGGGAATACTCATTCTACCTTCAGTTCCTTGACTAGCTCTCTCTCTCTCCCTCTTTTTTTTTTTTAATATTTTATTTAGTTATTTTGGGAGAGAGAGAATGAGAGAGCGAGCACATGAGTGGAGTGAGGGGCAGAGGGATAAGCAGACTCCCTGCTGAGCAGGGAGCCCAATGCAGGGCTCCATCCCATCGACCCTGGGATCACGACCTGAGCTGAAGGCAGACTTACCTGGCTGAGCCACCCAGGTGTCCCTTGACTGGCTCTTACTTACCACTGAAGATCACTTAGGTACTGCCTCCTGCAGGCTTTCCTGGACTGCCACATGGTTCTGAGGTCTGCTGGGCTCCTGCCAGACCTGTTAACCCCTTTCTCTCACTTGCCATTTTATATTAAAATGACTAACTTCAGGGATCCCTGGGTGGCGCAGCGGTTTGACGCCTGCCTTTGGCCCAGGGCGCGATCCTGGAGACCCGGGATCGAATCCCACGTCGGGCTCCCGGTGCATGGAGCCTGCTTCTCCCTCTGCCTGTGTCTCTGCCTCTCTCTCTCTCTGTGACTATCATAAATAAAAAAAAATTTAAAATGACTAACTTCACTGTTCTTCACACTAGAATGGAAGGACAGATGCACCTTCTTTGTCTTTGTGACTCTCAGTGCTCACACTGTCTCCTCTGTGACACTGTGAATTTTACTGAGCTAATGAGGTGCT